ATGTTTGTTATTGTAAGAAGATAAATAGCTTACTAGAAGAGCACTTGGAGAGCTCAAATTTCAATAGGAACACTTGCGTTCCTATTGGCTACCGCTCCAACACATTGTACGTGATAGGCTAAGGGGCGGGACATCTCTAAGCGGTTGACCAATCACAACAGAGTCGGCCAGCTAACCAATCAGAGCAGACTGGGCTCTGGTTTCAAACAGAGGGTGAAAAGAGTTGCTGCAGCACAGGCAGTATGAGAGAATAAAGAGCTTTGTGAACATTAAAGCAAGGAGACATGTAGAGACACTACATACTGATATACACCTGAACATCAGCAGGAGAGGACTCTTTAAAGTAGAGACACTACATACTGATATACACCTGAACATCAGCAGGAGAGGACTCTTTAAAGTAGAGACACTATATACTGATATAAACCTGAACATCAGCAGGAGAGGACTCTTTAAAGTAGAGACACTACATACTGATATACACCTGAACATCAGCAGGAGAGGACTCTTTAAAGTAGAGACACTACATACTGATATCACACCTGACCTGAACATCAGCAGGAGAGGACTCTAAGAGTAGAGAGACACTTTACATACTGATATACACTACATACTGATATACACCTGAACATCAGCAGGAGAGGACTCTTTAAAGTAGAGACACTACATACTGATATACACCTGAACATCAGCAGGAGAGGACTCTTTAAAGTAGAGACACTACATACTGATATACACCTGAACATCAGCAGGAGAGGACTCTTTAAAGTAGAGAGACACTACCTACTGATACACCTGAACATCAGCAGGAGAGGACTCTTTAAAGTAGAGACACTACATACTGATATACACCTGAACATCAGCAGGAGAGGACTCTTTAAAGTAGAGACACTACATACTGATATACACCTGAACATCAGCAGGAGAGGACTCTTTAAAGTAGAGACACTACCTACTGATATACACCTGAACATCAGCAGGAGAGGACTCTTTAAAGTAGAGACACTACATACTGATATACACCTGAACATCAGCAGGAGAGGACTCTTTAAAGTAGAGACACTACATACTGATATACACCTGAACATCAGCAGGAGAGGACCTCTTTAAAGTAGAGACACTACCTACTGATATACACCCTGAACATCAGCAGGAGAGGACTCTTTAAAGTAGAGACACTTACATACTGATATACACCTGAACATCAGCAGGAGAGGACTCTTTAAAGTAGAGACACTACATACTGATATACACCTGAACATCAGCAGGAGGGACTCTTTAAAGTAGAGACACTACATACTAATATACACCTGAACATCAGCAGGAGAGAGACTCTTTAAAGTAGAGGACCACTACATACTGATATACACCTGAACATCAGCAAGGAGAGGACTCTTTAAAGTATGGAGACACTACATACTGATATACACCTGAACATCAGCAGGAGAGGACTCTTTAAAGTAGAGACACTACATACTGATATACACCTGCACATCAGCAGGAGAGGACTCTTTAAAGTAGAGACACTACATACTGATATACACCTGAACATCAGCAGGAGAGGACTCTTTAAAGTAGAGACACTACATACTGATATACACCTGAACATCAGCAGGAGAGGACTCTTTAAAGTAGAGACACTACATACTGATATACACCTGAACATCAGCAAGAGAGGACTCTTTAAAGTAGAGACACTACATACTGATATACACCTGAACATCAGCAGGAGAGGACTCTTTAAAGTAGAGACACTACATACTGATATACACCTGAACATCAGCAGGAGAGGACTCTTTAAAGTAGAGACACTACATACTGATATACACCTGAACATCAGCAGGAGAGGACTCTTTAAAGTAGAGACACTACATACTGATATACACCTGAACATCAGCAGGAGAGGACTCTTTAAAGTAGAGACACTACATACTGATATACACCTGAACATCAGCAGGAGAGGACTCTTTAAAGTAGAGACACTACATACTGATATACACCTGAACATCAGCAGGAGAGGACTCTTTAAAGTAGAGACACTAACCTACTGATATACACCTGAACATCAGCAGGAGAGGACTCTTTAAAGTAGAGACACTACATACTGATATACACCTGAACATCAGCAGGAGAGGACTCTTAAAGTAGAGACACTACATACTGATATACACCTGAACATCAGCAGGAGAGGACTCTTTAAAGTAGAGACACTACATACTGATATACACCTGAACATCAGCAGGAGAGGACTCTTTAAAGTAGAGACACTACATACTGATATACACCTGAACATCAGCAGGAGAGGACTCTTTAAAGTAGAGACACTACATACTGATATACACCTGAACATCAGCAGGAGAGGACTCTTTAAAGTAGAGACACTACATACTGATATACACCTGAACATCAGCAGGAGAGGACTCTTTAAAGTAGAGACACTACATACTGATATACACCTGAACATAAGCAGGAGAGGACTCTTTAAAGTAGAGACACTACATACTGATATACACCTGAACATCAGCAGGAGAGGACTCTTTAAAGTAGAGACACTACATACTGATATACACCTGAACATCAGCAGGAGAGGACTCTTTAAAGTAGAGACACTACCTACTGATATACACCTGAACATCAGCAGGAGAGGACTCTTTAAAGTAGAGACACTACCTACTGATATACACCTGAACATCAGCAGGAGAGGACTCTTTAAAGTAGAGACACTACATACTGATATACACCTGAACATCAGCAGGAGAGGACTCTTTAAAGTAGAGACACTACATACTGATATACACCTGAACATCAGCAGGAGAGGACTCTTTAAAGTAGAGACACTACATACTGATATACACCTGAACATCAGCAGGAGAGGACTCTTTAAAGTAGAGACACTACATACTGATATACACCTGAACATCAGCAGGAGAGGACTCTTTAAAGTAGAGACACTACATACTGATATACACCTGAACATCAGCAGGAGAGGACTCTTTAAAGTAGAGACACTACATACTGATATACACCTGAACATCAGCAGGAGATAACTCTTTAAAGTAGAGACACTACATACTAATATACACCTGAACATCAGCAGGAGAGGACTCTTTAAAGTAGAGACACTACATACTGATATACACCTGAACATCAGCAGGAGAGGACTCTTTAAAGTAGAGACACTACCTACTGATATACACCTGAACATCAGCAGGAGAGGACTCTTTAAAGTAGAGACACTACATACTGATATACACCTGAACATCAGCAGGAGAGGACTCTTTAAAGTAGAGACACTACATACTGATATACACCTGAACATCAGCAGGAGAGGACTCTTTAAAGTAGAGACACTACATACTGATATACACCTGAACATCAGCAGGAGAGGACTCTTTAAAGTAGAGACACTACATACTGATATACACCTGAACATCAGCAGGAGAGGACTCTTTAAAGTAGAGACACTACATACTAATATACACCTGAACATCAGCAGGAGAGAACTCTTTAAAGTAGAGACACTACATACTGATATACACCTGAACATCAGCAAGAGAGGACTCTTTAAAGTAGAGACACTACATACTGATATACACCTGAACATCAGCAGGAGAGGACTCTTTAAAGTAGAGACACTACATACTGATATACACCTGAACATCAGCAGGAGAGGACTCTTTAAAGTAGAGACACTACATACTGATATACACCGGAACATCAGCAGGAGAGGACTCTTTAAAGTAGAGACACTACATACTGATATACACCTGAACATCAGCAGGAGAGGACTCTTTAAAGTAGAGGACACTACATACTGATATACACCTGAACATCAGCAGGAGAGGACTCTTTAAAGTTAGAGACACTACATACTGATATACACCTGAACATCAGCAAGAGAGGACTCCTTTAAGTAGAGACACTACATACTGATATACACCTGAACATCAGCAGGAGAGGACTCTTTAAAGTAGAGACACTACATACTGATATACACCTGAACATCAGCAGGAGAGGACTCTTTAAAGTAGAGACACTACATACTGATATACACCTGAACATCAGCAGGAGAGGACTCTTTAAAGTAGAGACACTACATACTGATATCAACCTGAATCTAGTAGGTCTGTAAACCTTCTTTAAAAACAAACCATAAATGAAATACTTGGTAGAGGTAAATATGAAACTATAAGATGTTGTGACACATCCAACTGATTGAGTTCCCATCGGGTCATTCAATCTTCTCCAGATTCGATTAATACCCCCAATTGTAAGTGAACCCCCGTCGTTCACACTTAATGGCACATTCCTATCCAAACCCACGGGGTAAAGCACTTCACTTCAAGCCCAGATTAGCTCCATCGCTGTCGAGCTGTTTGTCTCTCGTTGCGATAAATGCAGCGATGAAGTAATGGCTGCTTCGTGTGCAGGGGAGCTTCTGCAAAAAGGAGCTTTACTCATTACCTGCTATGGAAATATCTGGTACAAGTGGTGCAGTCCAATAGTTACCAGGTTTAGCTTGGTTTAGCCTGAGGTTGTCAATGTTCTGAATCCAGCTTAACGCCTTATAGACCAATTGGAAAGCTTCAGAAGTTATATATTGTTAGCAGATGTGCCATTGTTCTATACAAATATATATTTATGTTTCCAATAAAGAAGCCAATATCCACCTCAAACTCAGGAAAAAAACGTCTCTGCCCTTCACTTGGGTGTTGCTATGGCAACTGTTGCTGTAACAGGGAGTAAGCTTAGGAGAACATCAACAAAGGGTCATAGGTCAGAGATGAGGGGAGGCAGTCGTGAATATCTGCATCGTATTAGTATCTGCAATTGTATTGGACATTTTATACAACATCCTATAACTGTGTTGGCTGGTGTAGTTTATGCCCGCAGTTCCTAAACTTCTTTATTCTGATGTTGGTTAGGTATCACTAATTTATGCTAAAAAACAGTTGTTATTGTTGTTGATTTAATCGTATCTTTCTCATCTCTTCCCCCAGCTGTCCAAGTTCACGTCCTCAAAGGAGACAAGGCGGGCGAGTGGTGGAAGTTCACCGTCAACATTATATCCGTCTACAAACAGGGTGATAATCGTATCCGCCGCGGGGATCAGCTGCTGTGGGTAAGAGCCAAAGATGTCGCCTGCAAATGTCCCAAGATAAAGCCCGGGAGGAAGTACCTGCTCCTGGGAACGGACGACGACGATTCCCCCGGGCAGAGCGGCGTCGTGGCCGATAAGGGAAGCCTTCTGATCCCGTGGAAAGATCTGTGGGGCCGCCGGCTGAGGAAGTTCCAACAGCGCGACAAGAGGGGGAAGTGCTAAAAGTTACTCAAGAGGAAAAGGGAGTAGTATGGTGGAGGAGAAACAACATCTCCACTGGGACGAGGAGAGAGCTGCAGGAATGAGTCCTAAACCCCCCGGATAAGAGTTTGCATTTATATCACATACGGTTCCCTTGTCTGGAAGTCAATGGTTTTTTTTAATGTGTTTTTGGTTGTTAGCCTGAAATAAGACCTGTGGTTATCACTCGCTGAAGAGATTTTAACATTTTGTTCTACGACATATATACGTCAGTAAATACCCCACTGGTGGATTTAAAGTGTCTAAATGAGACAACTCAACGACATCACGCCCAACATTAGCCGCCTTTAGCTTAGCGGTGGTGAGGTGAAGTCATGTGACCGTGCTGTAGTTCCTTTATAGCCCAACATTAGCCACCTTTAGCTTAGCGGTGGTGAGGTGAAGTCATGTGACCGTGCTGTAGTTCCTTTATAGCCCAACATTAGCCACCTTTAGCTTAGCGGTGGTGAGGTGAAGTCATGTGACCGTGCTGTAGTTCCTTTATGGCCCAACATTAGCCACCTTTAGCTTAGCGGTGGTGACGTGAAGTCATGTGACCGTGCTGTAGTTCCTTTATAGCCCAACATTAGCCACCTTTAGCTTAGCGGTGGTGACGTGAAGTCATGTGACCGTGCTGTAGTTCCTTTATAGCCAACATTAGCTTTTTACTTCAAAAAAAGTGGTGTTAATATTAATGTGGAGATTATCCTGCTGAACAAAACGTGCAGGTATCATAAACGTGTGTTTGCCACAGATCTTATTTTCCGCAATTATACAAAATCACATGGAGAAATCCCATTGGCTTTTTGTCGAGGGAACCCTTGCGTTCCGCACCGCTGTATTCAAGGAAGAGGAGAGGATGGATGAAAAACTGGAAGAATAAAAGATGGAAAGACAGGTGACGAGAGACGGAGGAAAGACTGAGTGCTGCTGCTCTGAGTTGGAGCGATGAGATTAGTCGTTTTTTTTGTTGAACTTTTTGTGAAGGAGCTCATGCTACAGTTTCTGTTTGTCTTTCAAGGTTTGTGTTGTTGTGTAATTGCAGAGTTTGCACCTACAGATATGTCACACCCTGACTATTTTACCCATGATGCCATTGTCTTTTAAAGTTTCAGTTGTATTCAGGAGCATCTACTGTATCACCCTTTAGTATTTTAAGAGGATCTATTTCCACTGTGCTGTTTAAAGCATTATCGAGAGATGTTTCATTTGAGGGTTTCCACTCGAGTCTGATAAGATGCCTAACTTTGGATACAGAAAAAAAAACCTAATACGTGCCACCTTGCTCGAGAGCTACTTGCCTACATGTGATTGTTACCTCAGTGAAACTAAAATGCCATATTGATCCTCTGTATGACGATCGCATTTCATATTACAGTTGAAGCCCTGCGCTTTTCGATATATCAACAGTATGTTGTGGTTGTGACCTCTGCAATGTAAAGTAACCATATGTGCATACATAGACATTGTTTTTAGTAGATGATGCCGTAGATGTAGAGTAGACGTGTCAACCATGCACTTATTTTTACTTAGTCAAAGTTTTAGAACATATGAGATATGTTCACGTTTTCAGAGTGCCATCCAAAAACAAAAAAATCCCATATGATGCAACAAAGCTGATGTTTCTGATCCACAGTAACAACCCTGTTCAAATTTGTCAAGATTGCCAAGATGTTCTCACTCCTAAAATACGCTAGCTTGGTCATCCCGCTCATTCCACTTTCAACGCACTGGGTACACAACATTTTGAACCGTATAAAAAACTTAGACATGTTGTTGACCTAACGTTACGTACGCAAGTTAAATTACGTACGCAAGTTAAATTACGTACGTGACGTACAGTTAAGTTGCATAACTTAATTTAAGTTCTCGTATGACTCATTTAGGTTAAGGTGACAAAACTACCTGGTTTGATGCTTTTGTTAAAACGATTCTTATGTTACGTTACTTAAGAGTTAGTTATTGACAGTACGTTTAAAAAAAACTAAAACGAGTCGAGTGCAACAGAAGCACCTGGAAAAAACAACCTGGTGTTTACATAATTTAAGTTGTGTTCGCAAAATAAGTATTTTAAGGATGTAAACGTACATACTTACGTTAGAATACTTCAACGTTGACTTTTGGGGTTTATTGTAACTCAAGACATGTGTGTAATTTGAGTTTGTGACATACGTGGCGTTAGGTACATTACGTAGGTGAACTAAAGTACAAACGTTTAAATTCACAAGCGTTGAAATTCAAACAGGAATCCCTAAGGTGAAAGTTGTGTATTTGTTTACGTAACTAAAGATATCTAAGTAAGTTAAGTTAGACCTAAGTTCTACACGTTAACGTTTAAATAAGTCAATGTTTACTTTTGGTTTCTTCCAGAGACAAACTGCGTTCTTTTGGGTAAAATGTCTGTACCCATTCATCCATTCCTGACCTTCTCTTTAGACAGAATTTAAAATATGACACTTAGCTGGTCTTGTACCCCCGCGGGTTAACGGTCAATGCTTTTACGGCTAGTGAACAAACTACTGTATTTGATTTGAGAGTGAGAACGCCTTGAAACTAAAATAAATGTATTCTCTAATAAAGGACTAAAGGTTGGATGTCCCAAATATTTGCAAGTGAGATACAGAAAATCTTCTCACTTTATTAAAGAAAAGATCATATCAAACCACTGCCATAATGCATGCTTGCCCTTTACTGTAGCTGCCTGATAGCTAACGATGATTGTGAATTATGTACACATTTAAACAGTATTCAGTGTTGTGGAAAATAACCTGTGGAGTGATAAATAAGATATCACAGATGTTTATCGTCAGACGTTCCTCAGAGCGACTTTGAGGACTTCATTTTCTTGGTACTGGACGAAAAGGCATGACTGATTGTCTCCGTGTTATATAGCTGTATAGTATTACTTTTATATTTTGTTAAACATTAACTAGATCTATCTCTATGTGAACATAACCAGAGTTTTTTTTCTAAAGAATAGAGGCTTAATAAATGACAGAGGAATAAATGAATGTCTCCCAGAGGAACACACACTCTCACTATGACAGCTCACACACGCACACGCACACACACACACACACATAAATACATCTGTGCATCATACTGTATGTATTTGAAAACTACAACGCACTTATACACATCTGTACCAGAGTTTACGGACGCTACCGGACGTCTGCTCTCCAGGAATTATATCTGAATAATTATCTGTTTATACATGGGCTTGTAAATGTTGTTTAGCAGTGTCCATTGTTGTGTAATGTCTTGTAATACTAATATATTATGTTTATCACAAATGAATATATTTAATGACACATGAAACGAAATGTGGCTTTTGTGGTTTTTATATTTTACTTTTTTTGCATTGAATTGTAGATGGCTGTAATGAGAAGTATTGATAAGTGTTTGGCTTTTGAACGGCCGCATAGAACTGAAAATTAATTCATCTGAAATAAAGCTGTGTTAAACAAACAACAAATGGAGGTTGATCCCAGCTGAAGGGAGTTTACATTATTTTCTCTTCCTGTAATAAAACGTTATTTTACACGATTGCAAAACACCAACTTCAGACTTTATGCTCCATAACAATTTAGTCTGGCCCTTTTTTTGTTTATTTACATTTTGTCCGTTGTAATTGCGGAAGCATACAGCGTCATTTAGTTTAAAGGTCACCTATCATGCTATCTTTAGGCAACAGCATAGGTCTCAGATATATCAAGATATATTAAAAACATGTCTATGAAGTGTTTTGCTACAAATACCAAACAGATCACCCATTCTAGCCATGCCTCATATCCCTCTATTTCACTTCCTGTTTCAAAAGTGATGATTTGGGTACAAAGCTTTAAAAAAAAAAAAAAATTAATACAAATAAAAAGGAGGGGTCTGAGCTCATGCGGGACCCGGCAGCTACCGTCTAAACTAAATGCTGCGGTGATGAAACGCCATATCATGGATTATCAAGGATTCTCTCTGAAACAGTTTGGAGCTCAAATGCTTTCTCTCTTGCCGGTTATACCACAAGGTGAGTTCCTTTTTACTTCCTGCTTCTTCACACACATGCTCTCCAGTACAGGTTAGCTCTGAGTGTTAGCGATGCTAATGTAAACACCGACCATATTACGTCCAAAACAGTCGGGCATTGTTTCTGATAGCAACGTTTCTGATTGGGCCGTGGGTCCACATTTCAGATATTACGTCATATCGGACTCAAATCTGGATCAGCTCCGTTGTTCCCCGTTTTTAGAGATTTGGGTACGGAGGAAAAGAGAGAGGGTTTTGTTTGCTGACGCTGCGTGAGTTCCCTGACACACCGGGGACACATTGATGTAGAGAAGACATCACAAAGTGCATTTTGCATGATAGGAGACCTTTAACTAATCCTACACGTCATTCTTTATTACTCAAATAAACCAATTGCCCACAAATTGACCACTTTAGATTACGGGTCACAAATAACAGTGTAATTATTTAGTAAATAAATATATACTTGCTTTGGGTACTTATACAGTATGTACAGTAGAAGTAAGAGGTTAGAGGGATAAACCTCATTACTAATACTTTTTAATAATTACCTAATGATTACTGAGTAACAAGGCAAAAAGGTGTTATTTTTAAATAATGACATATTTAGAAAATAAATTAGGCTGAAGAAAGTATTTATATATAGATTTACTTTAATTATTATGTATTTTTAAAATAGTTGCCTATTATTTTTCTGAAAAATGTGTCGACTTATTGTTGCAGATCTAGTTTTTATTCATTATTTATATTTTTTTATTATTTTTTACGATGTTATCTAAAGAAATATGCATAAAAAAGCAACTTTACAATGATTATATAATTAATTATGGACAGTTATGTGTGACAAATCACAGAAATGAGAGCTTAGAGGGGTAAACCTCATTACTAATACTTAAACAAAATTAAGAAAGCATTTATATGAAGATTCACTTTAATTATTATGTATTTTTCAAGTACAGCCAATTTTGTTTCGCAAAATTAGTCTTTTAATTCATATTTTTTATATATTTGGACTTTTTACAATGTTATTTTAAAAAATATGCATAAAACAGTAACTTCAAAATGATTATATAATTCATTAGGAACCGTAATGTGTTTTTTGATCAATTCCTTTACTTAAATTATCCCATTCTAATATTGATTTACTTTCTAACTTTGGGAATAATGTATATTCTCTGATGGGAAGTTGTCAGTGTGACTTAAAAAAAACGTGAAGCCAATAATTAAGCAAGTAAATAAAGTAAAAAAGACGTAACTTCCCCCATGTCCTTCAGTGCAGACTATAATTTGAGTTGGAAGCTG